TCAGCAACAGTTGATGTTGTCAAGGGATTTGAAAACTTATTCCTGAAACCTAGAGCCTGAAGCCGATCCATCTATCAATCTATCTATCTATCTATCTATATCTATCTATCTATCATTCTATCTATCTATCTATCTATCTATCTATTTTCCTATCCATCTGTCTATTCATACCTGCTATCTATCTACGTATTTATCTACCTATCTAATTATGTTTGCTTACATGTCTATTTATCTTCTGTTTGTTTTCATGTCTATTTATCTTCTGTTTGTTTTCATATCTATTTATCTTCTGTTTGTTTTCATATCTATTTGTCTTCTGTTTGTTTGTTTTCATGTCTATTTATCTTCTGTTTGTTTGCATGTCTATTTATCCAAACTAGTTAATACAACCCACTAATATCATCAAAAATATTTAAAAAATGTTTAAAAAAATATTTAAAAAATTATGAATAAAGTAATAGTAATAATAGCAACAAAGACCTGGCAAGGCCATACCTTTGTACCCAGTACGTCTCTGCCCAGTACCACAAACAGAGTTTACTGGTACCCCAAAATGGCACGAGAATAGCGTCTATTGTTTCTCTCTTCTTTCATGACGTCACATGCCGCAGGCTAGGCACACTGGTCCTCATTACTGAGTACCGCTCAAATCTCTCAGAAAAACAATGAGTCACTATGATCTACACTTTGCTCTCTCGTGATTTCAAATAAGAATCAGGGGGCTCTCGTGGCCTAGAGGTTAAGGTGTTCGCCTATAATTCAAAGGTCCCGGGTTCGAATCCGGCTAGCGACCAAAAAAAAAATTTCTTCTCTAAAATTATCTCCTTTCTCTTCTGTCCCTGCTCTCTAACAATGTTCTGTCGTCTGCTTTCGTCTCCACTTTCTGCCCCCACCCCTCACCAACTTTGCCCCCTCCTCTGGACTCCTGACTCTTTCTGCAGCGTTTTTACTATTTCTCCTTGGCTCCTTCTTACCGTTGTCTTTCAGCCATACCCCTGGTCTTCTGGTAGGAGAGATCTACACCTAGCGTTCTCGGAAAAGGGTGAAAAATCTCGGAGGTCCCGTGTGCAAGTTGTGCCCGTTAAAGATCCCTTTGTGGTCTAAAATCGATAAGAGTAGGCTTCGGCCGCCAACCCTGGCAAAATTCAAAATTTCCTGCCAACTGAAAATGTCTGGTGTGTCCGGCGTGGTCATTTGACCTTGCAAGTTGCGAGCGCCGTAAAACACAATCAAAAACAAAAAAACACATTAAGAATCGTTGTCTTGTTAGTCGTAATCCCTTTCTTTTACACGTCATACTCGTGCTTACAAATACTAGCTGCAGTTCTCCCTCCTACGGATGTGTTTGGTGAGCAGAGACAACCGTTCAGCGTGCACGTATATCCGAAGTTGTGTCCCTTAGGTGTTCCATGAATCACGATTTTAAGAAAAAGAAATGGAAAGATTCCGACCTCCACAGTAGCCTGTTCGTGAGGCTCTGTTACGTGGTTTACTTGTTATAGAAGGGTCGAATCTTGTGTTTCAACGTTCGTGCTTTCTTTCAGTAGGATAGTTGCCTTCATTTGCACAATGACAGCGTAAGCTCAGCTCCGTACAAATGGCATTGGGGTAACTATCGATTTTGTGTACAGTAATCTTGCTAGAGCCGTAGGGCCAAGAGAGAAGGTCTTCATTATATTAGTGCTGAGCGAATCCCACTGAGACATGGAACAGACGGGGGACTCTCGGGGACAGGAAAAGGGACCAAATATACTCCAGTTTCTCTCTTTTTTCCCCTTTGTTTTCACTTGTTACTTTTACACGTCGAATTCCCAACAAGACATGCTAAAGGTTACTTCGATGGCAGATCAGGTTAAGTTGAAACGATCTATGAACGAGGGGAAATATTCAGATTCTTCTTGAATTCCAAATGTATAAAGGCCTACATATCGCTCCTCTTCAGTTCATCGATAGAGACAGGAGAAACATGCTCTACGTTGCCCATCCTTTTGTCTCGAAAAGTAGCTAAGTATTCTCTCCGTTTATTTCTCAATAAAATGATGGATTAAAAGTTGGACTTGGCGAAAAGTATCTAGTCAGATAGGTGGTGACAGACATAACACAATTAAAGTTATGGATGTATGAAAGTAAGGGAGGGGTGGTAAAACATCCGATATCACAACAGACTTTGGCATATGTCTGGCCCATGCTTGAATATGAGTTGTGGTTTAAATAGGCACTTCAGTGAACGCGCTCACTATAGCGTCATTTGGCTTCGGAAAGTCCCATAGGGTTTTGTTTCCGGACATGACGTCTCATCGCGACAGT